TTCACACATGCCAACCATTTTCAGATTATCCCCTGTATACGATCTCAACCAGTGTTGTCAGATGTCAAATTTAAAATTATCAGGATTTGAGTACAAAATTATCAAATTCCAAGAAAAATTATCTGAAAAAGTTCCTGTCAACTTTTTTGACTTTCTATCTCTATTTTCATTTTTCGGTTTCTAGCTGGGACTCTGGCAATTGTAGCTCTCAATAAGAGCTTCAAAAAAGGTTATTCAAGACTTCGAGCCCAAGGGCTTTATTTTCAAGATAATCGGCTTTGAAGCTTTTGCAAAATTTGAGATAAAGTTTTAACTTTGAGCCTCAATATTTTCAAAAGTATTTAAGATATAGAATTAAATCTTGAAGATTATTTAATTTTGATTCAGAATATATAATTTTAGATCATATTTGTCATAATAATAACCGAGTAATCAGCAATTTTTTTTACAAGCCTCAAAACCCTTGAGACAAAGTTGCGTAAATGCTTTTCCACTAATTTTCACCTCTTCTTTTGATTAGTAAAGTTAAAAATTGCAAAATCCAAAAATTTAAAAATTCGAATTTTTCCAAAAGGGGTATGCATGGAAATTGGATTTTCAAATATTTCAAATGCTTGTATTTTGGAAACCAGTGAAGCTATTGGCATAAATCTTTTGCCCATTTGTAGCTTTTAATAAGAGATACAAAAAAAATTATTTAAGACTCCGAGCTCAAGCGTTTCGTTTTCAAGATATTCCGCCTGGAAGCTTTGGCAAAATTTGAGGTAAAGTTTCAAATTTGAGCCTCAATATCTTCCGAAGTATTTAAGATATAGAATTGAGTCTTATTTTATCTTGAAGATAATTTAATTCTCATTCAGAATATATAGTTTTAGATCATATCTGTTATAATAATAACCGAGTAATCAGCAATTTTGTGAAAAAATGTCAGATTATTGAAATTTTTTGAGCCCAAAAATTGCAAATATCGTTTTTATTTTTTAACAAGGCTTTAAAATCCAAAAAAGACAGTTGCGTAAATGCTTTTCTACTAATTTTAACCTCTTCTTTCAATTGGTGAAGTCAAAAATTCGAAAAACTGAAAATTTAAAAATTCGAACTTTTCCAAAGGGGTATGCATGGAAATTTTGCTCAATTGTAGCTCTTAATATGGGCTACAAAAAAGGTTATTTAAGACTCCGAGCCCAAGGGCTTCGTTTTCAAGATAATCCGCCTGGAAGCTTTTGCAAAATTTGAGGTAAAGTTTCAACTTTGAGCCTCAATATCTTCCGAAGTATTTAAGATATAGAATTGAGTCTTATTTTATCTTGAAGATAATTTAATTTTGATTCAGAATATATAATTTTAGATCATATTTGTCATAATAATAACCGAGTAATCATCAATTTTGTGAAAGAATATCAGAATATTGAAATTTTTTGAGCCCAAAAATTGCAAATATCGTTTTTATTTTTTTACAAGCCTCAAAACCCTTAACACAAAGTTGCGTAAATGCTTTTCCACTAATTTTCACCTCTTCTTTTGATTAGTAAAGTCAAAAATTGCAAAATCTAAAAATTTAAAAATTCGAACTTTTCCAAAGGGGTATGCATGGAAATTTGATTTCCAAATATTTCAAAGGGCCATATTTTGGAAACCAGTGGAGGTATTCGCATAAATCTTTTGCCCAATTGTAGCTCTTAATATGGGCTACAAAAAAGGTTATTTAAGACTCCGAGCCCAAGGGCTTCGTTTTCAAGATAATCCGCCTGGAAGCTTTTGCAAAATTTGAGGTAAAGTTTCAACTTTGAGCCTCAATATCTTCAGAAGTATTTAAGATATAGAATTGAGTCTTATTTTATCGTGAAGATAATTTAATTCTGATTCAGAGTATATAGTTTTAGATCATATTTGTTACAATAATAACCGAGTAATCAGCGATTTTGTGAAAGAATATCAGATTATTGAAATTTTTTGAGCCCAAAAATTGCAAATATCGTTTTTATTTTTTTACAAGCCTCATAATCCTTGAGACAAAGTTGCGTAAATGCTTTTCCACTAATTTTCACCTCTTCTTTTGATTAGTAAAGTCAAAAATTGCAAAATCCAAAAATTTAAAAATTCGAACTTTTTGAAAGGGGTATGCATGGAAATTTGATTTCCAAATATTTTAAAGGGCCATATTTTGGAAACCAGTGGAGGTATTCGCATGAATCTTTTGCCCAATTGTAGCTCTTAATAAGGGCTACAGAAAAGACTTTTTAAGACTCTGAGCCCAAGGGCTTCGTTTTCAAGATAATCCGCCTGGAAGCTTTTGCAAAATTTGAGGTAAAGTTTCAACTTTGAGCCTCAATATCTCCAGAAGTATTTAACATATAGAATTGAATCTTATTTTATCTTGAAGATAATTTAATTCTGATTCAGAATATATAATTTTACATCATATTTGTTACAATAATAACCGAGTAATCAGCAATTTTGTGAAATAATGTCAGATTATTGAAATTTTTTGAGCCCAAAAATTGCAAATATCGTTTTTATTTTTTTACAAGCCTCATAATCCTTGAGACAAAGTTGCGTAAATGCTTTTCCACTAATTTTCACCTCTTCTTTTGATTAGTAAAGTCAAAAATTGCAAAATCCAAAAATTTAAAAATTCGAACTTTTTGAAAGGGGTATGCATGGAAATTTGATTTCCAAATATTTTAAAGGGCCATATTTTGGAAACCAGTGAAGTTATTGGCATGATTCTTTTGCCCAATTGTAGCTCTTAATAAGGGCTACAAGAAAGGTTTTTTAAGACTCCTAGCCCAAGGGCTTCGTTTTCAAGATAATCCGCCTGGAAGCTTTTGCAAAATTTGAGGTAAAGTTTCAACTTTGAGCCTCAATATCTCCAGAAGTATTTAAGATATAGAATTGAATCTTATTTTATCTTGAAGATAATTTAATTCTGATTCAGAGTATATAGTTTTAGATCATATTTGTTACAATAATAACCGAGTAATCAGCGATTTTGTGAAAGAATATCAGATTATTGAAATTTTTTGAGCCCAAAAATTGCAAATATCGTTTTTATTTTTTTACAAGCCTCATAATCCTTGAGACAAAGTTGCGTAAATGCTTTTCCACTAATTTTCACCTCTTCTTTTGATTAGTAAAGTCAAAAATTGCAAAATCCAAAAATTTAAAAATTCGAACTTTTTGAAAGGGGTATGCATGGAAATTTGATTTCCAAATATTTTAAAGGGCCATATTTTGGAAACCAGTGAAGTTATTGGCATGAATCTTTTGCCCAATTGTAGCTCTTAATAAGGGCTACAGAAAAGATTTTTTAAGACTCCGAGCCCAAGGGCTTCGTTTTCAAGATAATCCGCCTGGAAGCTTTTGCAAAATTTGAGGTAAAGTTTCAACTTTGAGCCTCAATATCTCCAGAAGTATTTAACATATAGAATTGAATCTTATTTTATCTTGAAGATAATTTAATTCTGATTCAGAATATATAATTTTACATCATATTTGTTACAATAATAACCGAGTAATCAGCAATTTTGTGAAATAATGTCAGATTATTGAAATTTTTTGAGCCCAAAAATTGCAAATATCGTTTTTATTTTTTTACAAGCCTCATAATCCTTGAGACAAAGTTGCGTAAATGCTTTTCCACTAATTTTCACCTCTTCTTTTGATTAGTAAAGTCAAAAATTGCAAAATCCAAAAATTTAAAAATTCGAATTTTTTCAAAGGAGTATGGAAATTTGATTTTCAAATAATTCAAGTATTTTGGAAACCCGTGAAGCTTTTGGCATGAATCTTTTGCCCAATTGTAGCTCTTAATAAGGGCTACAAAAAAGTTTTTTTAAGACTCCGAGCCCAAGGGCTTCATTTTCATGATAATACGCCTAGAAGCTTTTGCAAAATTTAAGATAAAGTTTCAACTTTGAGCCTCAATATCTTCAGAAGTATTTAAGATATAGAATTGAGTCTTATTTATTTTTATCTTGAAGATAATTTACTTCTGATTCAGAATATATAATTTTACATCATATTTGTTACAATAATAACCGAGTAATCAGCAACTTTGTGAAAGAATGTCAGATTATTGAACTTTTTTGAGCCCAAAAACTTTTTAACTGAGAAAAATATTTGGAGGATAAGATTAATGTTTTGCAAAATGATAGAGGAAAGATTGAAATTAAAAAAAAAAAATGGAATTTACGTCTGCTTTCTTATCTTGTTAAAAATCATAGTTAAAATACTTTGAAGCTTTTTGCAGTTGCAAAACTATTGAAGCTGGATTAAAATCATTCACAGAATATTTGTAGAGAATTTAATTGGTTTCAATTGAAGCCTAATTACGTGAAAATCGGATTGAAATTAGCAAAATTGTAAGGCAAAATGTATGTTAATGTCATTTTGGAAAAAAATTAAATTTTCGAGAAATCAACTTTGAAAGCTTCAAAAAAATACTCCAAAACATCAGAACGTTTTCAAACTCTGAGCAGTTAATAATCAAGATACTTTAAATAAAAAGTCCAAATTTGAAGTCAATTTGAGCCTCAGAAAGAAAATTATGATGAATGAAGCTCATTTTATACCATTAAAAGTGAAAATCTTTGATTTCTGAAAACAACTAAAACTTTACAAAACCCCTTATAAGTTAATAAAAACACTTATAACAGAAGAAACCTGAAAAGAAGAAAAAGACAGAAATTAAAACAAAATAAATTCATATTATTTGGATCAAAATTTATTCATTAACATTCAAACCCATATATCATAAGTCAGTCACAATATTATTATTATCAATAAATCAATAATACAATAATAAATTTCCTTAAATCTCGAATATCACAATGAAAAATATAGCCACAACAAATTATTATAAGTATTTACATTCTCATCAATAATTATTATCACAAGTAGTTTTTTTATATACAATTTACAATAAGAGAGATCAAAAATATTTACACCGGGCCAACAACTACTTATCACAGCTTCCTCTAGAAATCTGAAATATTTTCTTACATTCTAGGCATCAAAATGGGACTTGTCCTAGGATCAGAAGACACCGTACTACTTCCACTTGGCGACAAAGAAGGATGAGGCACAGAAAAAAAACTACCATAATCCATTGGCAAAAACATCCTTTGAGGCTCCATCTGATATTGATGTGGTACTGGCCTGACAATATTATGCCTCATGTAATTGTAATATGAAGGATAAAAAGGCTGTTGCAAAGGGTTGTAAATTGACAAACTACGTCTAAAAGCAGCAAGTCTAGCCTTTGAAGCTGCAGTAGAACGTCTTCTAAGTTTTCCAGTTGTACCTCCAATGAAAACATCGTCTGAAGAAGGATCCAAAACCCAGTAGTTACCTTTGCCTGGATCATCATAGCTTCTTGGTACTTTGACAAAACATTTATTCAAGCTCAAATTGTGCCTAATGGAATTTTGCCATCCTTGCTTGTTTTCCCTATAGTAAGGAAAGTTGGTCATTATGTACTCGTAGATTCCGTTGAGGGTAAGTCGTTTTTCTGGACTATTACGTATAGCCATCATTATTAAAGCATTATAGCTAAATGTAGGTTTTTCATTATTGGTTTTTGCCTCACTTGATTTAAGAACTTCTTCATTATTGCCAATAACATCTACTTCACAATCATCAGAATCACTACTCAAAGGTTCAGCCGGAATTGTAGCACTTTTTCTATTATTACTATCAAAAGCCAAAATGGCATCAATGGAAAAACTCAATGGGGTTTGTGCCACTTGTGTGGCACTAACAATATCGTCTTTCACCATCATTTTTACTACACTTGCACTTGTCTTTGCTTAGACGAACTCGCTCGAACTGAAGATTGAAAATACGGCTCGAAAGGACCAGACGGAGGCACATTTGCCCCACTCGTTTTTCGGGCCAATGGTGAGTCGAGGCTGGGTTTTGTTAGAGACGCCCTTTCGCCCATAGGTTGGTGTTTGGGCTTTTGTTTGTTTGCTTTGACAATTGAGTTGTATAGAGTGGTGGGAAAAAGGAAAGAGTGTTTGATTCTTGGAAAATTAGAAACTGTATTATTGAACTTCATTGGAATCTTTTGTTGATTGATTTGTCTATATACAAAGCTCTAATAAAATAGATAGTTTTTCTAATAAAATCTGTGTTAATTTGGGCTTCATAAAGTGGTAATTTTTGTTAAAATCTGAGACTTATTTGTCTCAAAAGTTGCATTCTACATGAAATTTGCTCACAATTTCATTGGAATCCTTTTGTTGATTAATCTGACTTTATTAAATTCGAAATTCTACGAAAAAACTTTCCTAAATTTTGGTTAGGGTGCCTGGGTTTTCGCGGAAAAAATTTAAATTCAGATTTCTCTCAAAATAATTAATTTTTATGTGAGGAGATTTATCGCTTTGTTATTAGAGGCTCAAATAATTTGGTTTTCCAATATGTAACTTTCTTGTTGCAGGCTCAAATAATTTGATTTTTCAATATGTGTTTCCTTAAGGGCCAAATTATGGACCAACTGTTAATAAGTGTCTGGTTGTTACGTAACAGGTACTTTCTATGCTCTAGATAATAGAAAGTACCTGCTAGGTAACAATCAGAGGTTTACCACTCAGTCCATAATTTGGCCCTAAAGCCTCTATTATCAAAATTTTTAATTCAGATATGAATCAAAAAATGATTACTCAACCTTGAGCCAAAACATCAGCTTCATATTATCTCATTAAAAAAGCTCCAATTAAACTCTTTATATTTTTAATGACACCCTGTATAAAAGAGGCAAATTTTCTTGATCTAATTTGAAATGATGCAGGAGCATAATTTATTCCAAATGGTAAAACTTTTTCCTATACAATGTGTAGAAAAAATAGTGTACTGAACTTTGAGGAGTGATAACTACACATGAAAATAAGAAAAATGTTCCTATGAACATAATATGCCCCAAGATGCTTTTCTGTTTTGTGAGTAGGTAACTACCTTTTCAGGGGCCCGATTCTCCTTTCAGGGAGAGGAGAACTCCCCGAGAGAATAAATTTTTCGTCTTTATCATTCCCGTTAACTTTTGGATTACGTTGACAAGGACAAAAATTCGTTCTTTCGGGGAGCTCTACTCCCTAATGGGGACGAGAATCGGGCCCCAGAACTGTTAGGATTTTTTGTAACTATTACCAGAGTTTGACATGGTCATGAATAATTGCCCATATCTTTGGTAAACTTTGAGCAAATTATACATCATTGGAAAGAGCATTAAATTCTCTATAAATCTGTGCAAAATTGAGTCCGATAGCTCAAATAGTTTTTGAGCAATTGAGCCTCAAAGTTGACTTTTAGTCCAAATTTTGTCACAAACCTCAAACTCAATTTGCTCAAAAACTATAGATCTAGAAATATTGTAAATTACAGGTCATTTGGAACTTAATAAAAGCTACAAATTCTGGAAATTTCAACGCATTTTGCTCAACGGTTATCAAGCAATTGAGGTTTGAATATTTTGAAATCAGAATTCAAAGGGACCCTTATGAAAAATTCGATTTTTTTATTTTTTAGTTTTGCTCAATTTTGACTCTATGAATGGATAGAGCGGTACAAAATTACTGGAAAACAACCCTGATATCAATTCCAAATGCCCATTTTAAGCAGAAACAAAAATAAAAAGAAAATCCTATTTTTGGCTCTGGAAAATTTTCAAAATTTTGACATGGTCATGAATAATTGCCCATATCTTTAGTAAATTTTAAGCAAATTGAAATAAACTATACATCATTGAAAAGAGCATTAAATTCTCTATAAATCTGTGCAAAATTGAGTCCGATAGCTCAGATAGTTTTTGAGCAATTGAGCCTCAAAGTTGACTTTTAGTCCAAATTTTTTCAAAAACTTGAAACTCAATTTGCTCGAAAATTATAAATCTGGAAATATTGTAAATTACAGGCCATTTGGAACTTGATGGAAGGCACAAATTCTGGAAATTTTAAAGAAATTTGCTCAACGGTTATCGAGCAATTGAGGTTTGAATATTTTGAAATCAGAATTTAAACCCTTATGAAAAATTCGATTTTTTTTATTTTTTATAGATTCAGAACTGATTCGGAACCAGTTCTGTGTTCGAGATTCAAATAAAATCAGTTCCGAATCGACTCCGAACCAGTTTGCAATTGATTTAGGATTACGAATTTGGAATTAATTTAAGAAAAGAAAAAGGATTTTATTTACATACTTAGAGAACTTGCTCTGACCTTTACAATGTCCCCGGATCAGTAAATTCCGAAATTTTAGTTATAGTTCTTTGTTCGCGGTTCCGGATCTACTCTAGTACTAGGGATTTTATAGATAAAGCGCTCTGAATTTGTTCCGAACAGATTCGGAGTGTGATCCGCATAAAAATTGGTTCCGTTCGCTATTAAGATTTAGAATTGGGCTGGGATTACGACAAGTAGAATTCTACTTTCATGACCTCTTTATCGCAAACAGTACAGGCGAAGATGACGGTTGCTAGGCAGTCTGATGTCATGAAAGTAGAATTCTTCTTGTCGTGATCTCAGCCCGAATTCGGAGTCTTTCGTTTGAAATGCAAACAGAATCAGTTCCGAATCGACTCCGAACCAGTTTAGGATTACGAATTTATAATCAGTTCAGGAAAAAAAAAAACGGATTTTATTTTACCTGAACAAGAAGTTTGAAACTTGGAACATTCTCTTTCACTTATTAGAAAACCTACTCTGAACTTTTTAAATGTTCCCGGATCACTACCACCATAAATTCCGAGTTTTCAATTACAGTTCTTTGTTCAAGGTTCCGGATCTTCTCTAGTTTTATAGGAACTATTGAGTTTTTTGTTCGCGGTTCAACTAGAATCAGTACAGAGTTCACAGTATTCCTGTTCGGAAATTGTTGGCGTTAACATAATTAGTTCATAATAAACTCAATTAGAACCGAACTAGTGTAAGTATTCAGTACTATTCTGTTCCATGTTTTCGGTTTTGGAGCAAGTTCTACCGATTCTAAAAATATATTGGGCTTATTAGAATATTCGATTTTTGTTCCGAAATGGGTTTGCGGTTCAATAAAATCCTGATCTGGTGCATGATTAGGCATGCGACAACCTTTGTTTTTTTGTGCAGTTTAGAACTGGTTCCAGAACAAGTTGTGATTGTAGGAATTTGACATTAATAAATTCAATTAGTATCGAAATGTGATCCGCGAATAAAGCTCGGTAAGGATTCAGGACTATTTTGCTTTTTGTTCTCGGTTCCAGAACAAGTTCTACTGATTTTAAAGATCTGCATTATTCATGTTCGGAGTATTTGATTTTTGTCCCGGAATGGTTCGCGGTTCAATAAAATCCTGAACTGGAATTCAGAAGTGATTCGGAACTATTCAGTGTTTTGTTCAACTAGAATTAATTCTGGAACGAGTTCTGTCGATTCTAGGGATTCCAAAATTCATGTAAAGTAGGTAAAATATTGCCGGTTGTTAGATCAAACATAAAAAAAGCAAGAAAGCTTTCTACTACATGAACTTCGAACAAGTGACAAGTGACATTTATCAAATTGAGCCTACTTTTTCTGTTCAGATCGATCTGAATTGAACTGCGCTACGAATCGAATGTATTTCAGAAGTGATTCGGAACTATTCTGTTTTTTGTTCACAGTTCAACTAGAGTCAGTTCCGGAATTAGTTCTACTGATTCTAGAGATTTTACAATTTAAATAGTATGGCGAGATGTTCAGAGTAGGTACAGTACAATAAAATTCTGAATTGGTCTATGATTGGTGACGTTCCTAAATTGGTTTCAAACTAGATTCAGAATGTGATCCGCGAATAAGTCGGTGAGGATTCAGAATTGAGTCGGAACTATTCTGTTCTTTGTTTTCGGTTCAACTAGAGTTAGTTCCGGAGCTATTTCTACCGATTCTAAAGATTTTTCAATTCAAATAGGATGGTAAGATGTTTAGAACAAGTAGGTATTCATTTCCTGCTCCGAAATTGTTCGCGGTACGATAAAATTCTGAACTGGCCTATGATTAGTGACATTTTTGAATTAGTTCGGAACCAGTTCAGGAATTTGATCCGCGAAAAAAAGGTTGGTGAGGATTCTTTGTTCCGGGTTTACTACAATCAGTTTCGGAACTAGTTTCACCATTTCTAGAGATTTACAATAATTCAAATAGGACGGTAAGATGTTCAGAGTAGGTATTCATTTATTCATTGCTCAATTTTTACCTTATGAGTCGATAGAGCGGGTCAAAATTAGTGGAAAACAACCCTGATATCAATTCCAAATGGCTATTTTAAGCAGACACAAAAATAAAAAGAAAATCCTATTTTTGGCTCTGGAAAATTTTCAAAATCTTGACATGGTCATGAATAATTGCTCATGACTTTGAGCAAATTGAAATAAATTATACATCATTGGAAAGAGCATCAAATTCTCTATAAATCCGTGCAAAATTGAGTCCGATAGCTCAGATAGTTTTTGAGAAATTGAGCGTCAAAGTTGACTTTTAGTCCAAATTTTGTCAAAAATTTCAAACTCAATTTGCTCGAAAATTATAGATCTGGAAATGTTGTAAATTACAGGCCATTTGGAACTTGACAAAAACTACAAATTATGTAAATTTTAATGCAATTTGCTCAACGGTTATCGAGCAATTGAGGTTTGAATATTTTGAAATCAGAATTTAAAGGGGATACCCTTATGAAAAATTCGATTTTTTTATTTTTCAGTTTTGCTCAATTTTGACTCTATAAATCGATAGAGCGGGTCAAAATTAGTGAAAAACAACCCTGACATCAATTC